GGGGGGGGGGGGGGGGGGGGGGTGTGCGTAGAGTGGGTGGAAACCGAGGTTTCATTAGGAGAAATGAAAGGATATCAAAGGGCATACAAAAAAGAAAAAAAAGAAAAAAGAAGAATAAGGGCAGTCCCAAACAACAACCTACAAATAGTTAATGCTTGATAAATGGTTGCATATAACGTCATTGAGTGTAGCATAGTTTCCAGAAACTTAAGGAAGAATCTTTCCATCTCGTCGGTGAACAGAACAGTCTTAAATGACATTTTTACATTGATACTTTTTTGTTGTTCAGTTGTATGTGGCAACATGTTCACGTGCTCGAGATGTTGATGATAGTTATGTAGCTTGGGGCCACTCAACCCTTGTTGGACCGGTAAGTCGATGCTGTAGTCCAGCTTTGTTATTCACTTATATCATGCAACTTAAGCCATTATATTTTTGAGTTTCGAAAGTCCACATCTCAACTCTAGTCATGGTATAATGCATGTTGCAGTTTGGGGAAGTGTTGGCTACAACTGAACATGATGAAGCAATAATCATATCTGAGATTGATTATTCGCTTATTGAGCTTCGAAGGTGATCTTTCTTTCAGACATTTTAAGAAGTGTTTTTCATTCATTATTCAACTCTCTCTCATTATGCTAAAACCATTCAGGACTAACCTACCACTTCTGAAGCAAAAACGTGGAGATCTTTACCAGTTGGTAGATGTTCAGAGGCTGAAATCCGAATGAAAGGTGCAACGACTGCTTTGAACACTCTTTTGCTTAAAATTTTACGGATTAGAATAAACTTTCTGCTACTGCACAATCCCTACTTGTTTCGAAATACTTCCACTACAGACTACGACTGTAGGTGCTGTACTGCTGCGGATTTGTGTGAACAGGCACCTCCCTCTTAAATTTCCATTGTGCTGATGAGTAACGCTCCATATCTGTATGTTTTATATAACTCATTAAGGTTCAGAAGTTGGCAATGGCATAAAAATTAATAAAGGCTTACGTAGGACCAATATTACCCTCCGTTCTAAATGCAAAATGGGGTTGAAAAGGAAAAAACTATTTTATCCTTACCGTGACAGCTTTACCCCTGTCATTCGTCAAGCCCTTCAACAGAGAGAAAGAAAAAGAAGACATGAGCCAAATGCGCTCAAGTCCATAGTCTTTATTTCTTTGGCTTTTGTTGGGAATAGAGCCTTTCTTTGGACGCTGTCTCCGATCCCAACCCTTTCTTGGGATCTCCACCATCTCCCATCCCTTTTAAGCCAAACTATGGCACCCTTTTTTCCCTTTTTCTTTTTCTTTCTTTCGTTCTCTTTCTTTTTAGAATACTTGTATTTGATCCCTGATTTGTTACTTTCTCAGAGAGAAAGAAAAAAGGAAAATCATCCCACATAGATAAAATGTCGGACCACGTTGTAGAGCCACCAAGAAGTTCTTTTAATCATTTGGGGGGAGGAACGGGGCAGGTTCTAACCCTAGATTCTAGAGTGAACAGAGAGTAAATGGATCACATGGCTACCAAAACTCCATGGTCCCACTACACGATGCCTCAATAAGCGTAACCATGTTAGATCAACTGCAGTATTGATCATTTAGTTCAATAACGTTTTTTGTCTTGCAGGATGCCTTTTTAACTCTCTGAATTTTTATGATTACCTTGAAGGCCAGGGTTTAAATGACAGACAATTCCTTGGGTTGAATTGAATGCAAAAGGAGAAACTTGACTAAAGTGATGTTGAATCTAACAAATAACAGCTAATGCAGGTGCTCATCGATTCCTTCAATTTGATTAATATGAACTCTGATTATCTTTGTCTGTTGAGACTAATCTCTGTTTCAACATATCAACAAAAAGACTTTGCAATCCTAGGGTGGCCCACTAAAGCGTATGGAAACCCAAAGGGGATGAGCATCATGGCCCTTGGAATTTAGTATTCACCTGGTTGTTTTCTAAACCTTTATTCCTTGTTTTGTTTTCACTTTTATAATTATCTTATGTCATGTTTGATTTCATTTGATATTTTGTTTTTGAAAATGGTGCTTCTTTTCTCCCCATTTCTTTACCATTGTTTTCATCTTTCTCAAGAAACCCTTTGATTTTTTAGTCAAATTTCAAGGAAAAAAAAAAACAAGTTTCTAAAAACTACTTTCTTTAGTTTTCAAAACTTAGTTTAGATTTTTTTTTCAAATTTTTCTAAAAAGCAACAACAAAACAAAGAAATTCATGAATGAGAATAGTGTTTATACACAATTTAAAAAAAAAATTTAAAAAAAAATCAAATGTTTAACAAATGGGCTTTAAGTATTTCATTTTACTTTTTTTTGCTGTAAAGTTTGTTTATTATTTTTAATAGATGGTTTTTAAGGAGAGTAGATGAGACTTTTGAAGAATGCAGGGTTGAGATCAAAACTAAGTTCCTACGGAAAACTCAATAACAGAATAACAAAGTTTTAGAGATTAAATTTAAAAACTTATTTTTTTTTCAACGTTTTTGCACCCCAAAAGGGAGAAAAATACAAAAAAAAAATTATATTTCTATGACTTTAAGGTTTGTTTTGCTGGAATCTTAAGGTTTGTTTCTTAGGAATGTTAGATGTCTGGCAGTCAAGGATTTTTACACTCCCACTCTAATGTCATCATGGTCTTGTCTTTTCCTTATCTTTCGTTTTTTTTTTTCCTCTTTTCTCTTTCTTTCGATGAGAGAGTTGCATCTAAACTAACCAGTCTAATAGGACAACTATTTGACCTTATGATGTTTTGGTTGACATCTAATTTGATTAGATTGTACTTTGATGTAGTTCAAACCATTTCCTTTACCATTTCCTTATGGTTTGAATGGCATAAAAGTACAATGTAATCAAACCATGTTAATACTTTTTAAAAAAAATACTTCCAGAAGTTTGAAATAAAGTACCTTAGTATATAAACAAAAATTGTTAATAATTGTTAATAGCATTTTTCAGAAGTTCTTCCAAAATTTTAAAAGTTTCACTAATATCCTTACCTGAAACTATTTATTTACACTTTTTAGATCCCTTTTCTCTTCCATTTACTCTCTTTTATTTACTTCATTTCACACTTTCTTAATCTCCTTTCATTTGTCAATCTCTAAAACTTTTTTATTCTTTTTTTCTCTCCCTTAAATATCCCGACTTCAATTAAATAGGAGTGTTCACTTTGTTTAGGCAGGCTCAAACATAAGTATAATAAATTTTTTTTAGTTAGAGAACAATTTTATATACAACTTCACATAGATACTCTCATTTATCTTGATTTTTCTAATTTTTACACTAATTTTCTCAGCAACCAACCTAACCCAAAACTTGAATGTAAATTATAAAATTCCACAAAATCAAAATCTCCTCTCCAAAATTGGTAAAATAGAAAGAGGCAACAAATAAGTATCCTTTTGTATCATGAGAAACCTTTTTATTCGGTCACAACAAATAGATTAATTTAAAATGCAAAATGAGTTAAAAAAAGTGTTCATTGTTACGTATTTGGTAACACATGTTTTCTTTTTCTCTTTCACGGATTGTTCTCAAAATTATTACTTAAAGTTCAACGTCTCTCTTTGTATATTAAGCTCAAACAATGCATTAGCTCACACTTAACTACGTATGTTAAACTTTGTTAAAATACTTAAATCCTGAGGGAAAAGGGCCCTATCTCTATTCTTCTTGCTATAGCCTATATTCCTTGATTGAAGAGGATAGTTTTAGATATTGGAGAATGGAAGAAAGGGAGTAAGAAGGTGTTGAAGAAGAGAGGGAACATAGGAAGTGTTTCATAAATTGAATTAGATGAGAGAGAAAAATTGGAAGAAGAGAAGAAGGTGATGAGATGTGGATAAAATGTTTTTGTTCGAATATTTTTTAATTTTTTAGAAGGTTAAAAGTAATACATGAACATTAAGAACTCAGCTGAAGTTGTGGGTCTCACATTTGCGACCTCTATTGCATTATCATTCAATTTGGGGCAAGGGACCTGCTGGGTGTCTGCAGGACAATATATTATTTGGTCTCTTTTAACCCATATTTGGTAGCCCTCCCCCTTCACAGGCAAGGACTGCCATTAATTGCACATGTCCTCTCCTATGTTCATTTCTCTCTTATGTTAAAACATTTCTTTTGGGATTATTGTTTAGCTTTCTGTCTGAAACAGCATCCACATTTGCCATTTCTCCTTTTACTTTCAGCAACCAAAAATGGCCATTAGAAACAAACCCAATCTAGAACTGAAGCGGGGAGACCCGTTGATGGTGCAGCTTTCTTTCTGTGCTGCCCCTCTTTTCTTTTTCTTCTTGTCTTCAGATGATTTAACATTTTGCAAACAGATATGGAAATCATGTGCCTTTGGCAAGGATTATGGGGACACCCATCCTTTCCCACTTGTGTGGTGGGTTTTGTTTTGTGTTTTTTGCAGTTTGGGGTCTGAACTTCCTTTAATTTAATCTAATGACCCTGAATTTCCTTCCTTTTCAGCTGTGCTTAATCATAGATGCTTACTTTCCTCAATGCAATAAGGGCTTACATTACAATTACCTTCCTACTTTACCTTTTTGGACCATTGGGGTTGGGACTCATTAGTATAGTCTGTATTCACATTTCTGGCTTCTTTAGTAACAGTTTTGCTTACTCATTCCCTTACTTTAGTAAACTATAGCTTTTACAGCCTTTTTTGTTTAACCCTATGTCTTTATATTCTGAAATGTTTTCCTTTGGTCCCTCTAGTTTATTAAAAGCTAATTTTATTCTTGTTTTTGTCCTTGAATTTTGATTAGGTTGTATTTAACGTAAATGTCACGTTACATTAGCTACAAATACGTGTTCTTTTAACCGTTTACGGAGATCCAAATGAAATGGGAATAGAAGCTGAAAGGGACAAGCGAAGGCAAGAACTTTTCTTTTCCTAAAATTCGTATCAACAAAAGTTTCAAAATATATATCAAAGAGAATGTAGATTGAAATGAATAAAGTTATTAGTAAATAACAAAAGCTAGAAACAAAATTCCACTTTTATATTTATGGAAAATGTGAATGGTACAGGGAAAATGCAAAAGAACGAGGTGGCTTGGATTGATGATGAAGTTGACATCTTCGAGCTTCCTTTCTCAAATTTTCATTTGAGCTCAGAGGTACAAATCTCTACTTGTTTATTAAGGTTTAGTGGCGACCTAACAAATTTCCTATAGGATTCAATGTGTTTGGTTGACTAGTTTTAGTTTTTATTTGTTGAGTATTCTACATATCTTCAAGGGAGTGTTAATTACTAACAATTTAGGCCGAGTTCATGCTATAGGGTGAAGTATGCAGCTCTCCTATCTCCTTGTTTGAGGTGGGTAGCTTGCTATCATTAGAAATTTGGACATGTCGATAAGGCCAACAACACTGGGGGATAAACGAATTTTAATATCTGACCTCTCGGGTGGTGAAATACACATCTTGATGAACTAATGATTATTAGGTCATGTACGAACAAAGATGTCTTTCAATTGTTAAGAAATTATGTTTAAATAGTTGTATACTGGTTTCATCTAATTTGTTATGGATTTCATCTGATTTTGTTATGGATTTCATCTGATTTGTTACAGTGAATATAGCTCTATTTTAAATTGTATTTCACTGTCTACCGCAAGAATATCATATCACAAATGTGTCTATTAGAATGGAAACATGTTTTTTTTTTTTTAAACAAAAAAAAATAATTGAGTTCACTTATTTATTAAATTAAAGGGATTAAAATTTCAATTTTAGCCTCGGATGTCAATTAAAAGGGATTAAATAAATAAATAATTCACCCGTTATTACAGCGATGAAAAGCCTGATCAACGCGTCAGAAAATGGAAATCGTAGGGGGAGAATAAAGCGTTATAGTTGTATACAAAAGGGAAGGGGCAAAATGGAGAATTTGATAATGCCACGTCAGGGAATTGAGAAATTGAAAAATTAAAAGTACCCGCGTGGGGATCCTATAAAGCCTCTCTTTCCTGTTCTATCTTCCACCTTCAGCTCTGCCTTCGAAGCGTGCTCTCTTCCTTCTCATTAGCTCCCTTCCCTTTCTCCTCTCTCTACTTTCTCTCTCTAGAATCTAAAATTAAAGAACCGCCACAATCAATTGCTTGTTAATCTACATTGCTTTTCTGTTCATCTTCGATTCAGCAAACTTCCAGAGAATTTTGAGGGAGAGTGGAAAAGTAGTATTGATTCAATTACGTGTAATTGGTTTTCTTTTCCAACAGTTTCTGTCACCTTCCATGGCAGCTTTTGGACCTCCAGAAGGAGACAAGAAAGAGTTGAAACACGGCCCCGAACCCTACTTCTTGTGTGCTATGCTGTGACGGAGTTTTCCGCCATTGTCGTTTTCTCTCCTTCCTTTCATCATCGTTTTGTTTCTCATTCCTGATTGGATTTTCATTTTCATTATCATTTTTCTTTCCTGCTGTTTCTTTCGAATCATGAGCGGGCAGGAAGTTAGGGCCAGAGGTGAGAGATTTAGGGATGGAGGAGGTATTGTACAGTCCTTCTCTTCGAGTTTGCTTGATGAAATCTACCGTTCCATTGACGATGGAGGGGATAAGAGAAGTGGAGAATTGAAGTTTTACAGACAGAAGGTGTTGAAGAAACAAGGTAAAATGATCGGGAAAGCGCAGAGTGATGTTGAAGATGAGGAGATCGCGAGTCTTCATCGTGCTTTGCTGATAGAGAGGTGGATCGAGAAGAAGGTTGCTGAAAAGGTGAGCGCTCAAAGGAGACGTTCTCTGACGGAAGCTGAGATAAAATTTCAGTTGTACCAGCAGGAGCGGGAAGAGGACGTTCTGTTCTTCAGTTCAACTTCGAGCTCTTCCGATTCGAGTTTCGGCGGATTTTCATCTTCGGATACTGAATCAATGTATGGTTCGAAATCCTTGACGCCGTCTTGTTTCGCAAAGTTCAGACCAAAGCCGGTTCGGACCAGCGTCTCCGCTCCACCGCCGGAGAAGACGGAGGAAAAGCAGAGACAGAGCAGAGAGAAGCCACCGGCTAAACAGATCAATCAATTCGTTGAAAACAATGAAAAATCTCGAGGTTTCGACGAGAGCGCTATGATTAAGTCGAA